CCATGGTGTGCGCGGAAGTAAAGGGCACAGTGCGACCGGTCTGTGCATTAGGGACCGCGGAGNAGGTGGGCTCCCATTGCTGATGGCGGGTAGGCAAGCGAGGTCCCAAATTGGATGGTGATTCGGTCGATGGCGTCGGTGTTGTCGGAAGTCCAGATCTGGGGGACATACTGCAGCATGCCAGCATCAAAGCGGCCGCCGCCCGAGGCACATCCTTCCCACAGGACATCCGGAAAACGGGTGGTCAGTGTGTCGAACACCCGGTAGAGGCCAAGCATGTACTGATGGTCAGTCGACGGAGAGGGCGTCTCGTGTATCCCCCGGTTGTTGTCCCATTTGACGTAGGAAATGCCGGTATCTTGTAACAGGTTCGTCATGAAGTCTATGATGAAGTCCTGCACAGCCGGAAGCGCCAGGTTGAGGACGAGCTGGTTCCGACGCTCGGTACGGGGGTAAGGCCCGGCATGAAGCGCCCACTCCGGGTGTTCGTGGTAGAGAGTGGAATTGGGGTTGACCATCTCGGGCTCCACCCAAATACCAAAGCGAAGTTTTGTGGACTCTGTGCCATTGACGGTGAGATTTGTGATGTCTTGCACGACCGGGGTCAACCCGTCCGGGAAGCGCGCTGGATTGGGCATCCAGTCGCCCAGTCCGGCGTTATCGGACACTCGAGGGTACTTGTCCCCAAACCAGCCGTCGTCCATGACAAAGAGGTGGACACCCAGGGCAGCGGACTCTTCGGCAAGAGTTTCGATGCTGCTTTGATTGTAATCGAAATAAACACCTTCCCAGCTATTCAGCAGAACCGGCCGGTCGGACGTGGCGAACTTGCTCTTCATGAGGTGGTTGCGATATAGCCGGTGGAATTTGCGAGACACTGAGCCAAGGCCTTTGTCCGAGTAGACTGCAACACACTCGGGGGAGGTTAAAGTCTCGCCAGGGCCAAGGTTCCACGATAATTGGTCCGGGTTGAAGCCGAGCAGCGCCCGGGTGAAACCTTGCGATCCTTTCTCTACTTGCGCCGAGAAAGAGCCGGTATATACAAGGTTGAAACCCCATGCCTCGCCTTGCGATTCGGTAGTAGCTGGATCTACTATGGCAAGGAAGGGATTATGAAGGTGAGAGGAATATCCAGTACTGCTTCCAAATCTACTCTCCCGTCAGTAAGGTCACCATGTCGGTTTTATGCTATGCTGACTTACCCCTGGACGCCATACTGCACTTTGCTTCTCTGAACATTTGCCTCTCTGGCCCAGTCGCCTCGGAGGCTGACCATGTCGAGGTCTTCATAGGGGAAATCGATACTTATGCTTGCAAGGGCCTCGATAGTGATATTACCTGGGCCCTGGTTGGTCACATTGACACTCCTCACGATCGCATCATATTTCGGAAATATGGAGTATGACAAGTCGGCCGCGACGGAGCTATAGTTGTCATACAGATGGACTACCAAAGTGGTGGCGTCCTGCGCATCGCCAAATGTGGCAGGCAGGCCAGGCAAAGCATATTTACCTTCGATCACCTCGTGCGACACATATTGGAGATCGCTAACAGTATAACCTGCCGATTCCCGAATACGAACGGCGGGAATGCGGAAATCCCCACGGCCTTGGTCGGGGAACTCCCGGCGGATTCGACCAGGCATGCCGACCCAGCCGTTGACAGCAGGTTCCACTGGCGAAGGGATTGTGCCGGAGACGACACCACCAAAATGATCAGAAATCAAGTCGCCGGTGCTACTGTTGACATGGAATCGATATGAGACATTGTCGCCGTTCAATGCGAAACTAGTGCCATTCGTAACGATCGCTGTTTGGTCAGCTTACATTCCGAATGAAGATCAAGCGTTGCAGTAGCATCCCTCCCCCCCATCAGGACATACATACTCTGTGAATTCGAAGCCCCAATTGCGGGTGCTGCTGCAGAATGACCGTATAACGTAAAAAGGCCCAGGGCCACCACGGCATGAGAAGACCCGATCATGGTGGTGATGATATTGCTGGCCGTCAATCCTAACACATGTGGCAGGTGAGTGAAGCAGCAGTTCTTCCTCTCACCGGCCTTTTATCCCCGGACGGGGTTGACTGCATCCGGGGAAACATCGGAGGGTATCCCAGTTTCTTGCTGGGCATCTTCCCCCAGCTCCGGCTTGGCACCCCCACGTCTCATTCCCCAACGTGGCTGGGATCATCCTGCCCAGCTCGTTAAGACTACCTGGGCAGAGAAGGGGGGACAATCCGGGGATTGTCATTGCACGGTCTCCGCCTTGGCTCAATAGTATAAGCTGCAAGATCAGCTCATTGCAGTAGGTTTCTCCCCCTTGGCTGCGGAGTTGCCCCGGATGCTCCGAAAACGGGGATGCCGACTTCTCCATGGGGCATTCGGTGTGCTGTTTGTTCTGTTTGCATACACTGGTTTTGTTTGGCTCTTGGAAAGGTAAAAACAAAAGAGAAGGATCAGAAAAACACAATCATAAGTGAACCCAAGGTATAATCACGGAATACACCAGTTCTCCATATATTAGATACCATCTTTTCCCTACTTTTAGTCAAATGCAGTAAATATCAGGATGCTTTAATAGTAGCATAGTAGTAATAAATCACAGCAGATGCCAGTGATCTCCAATGAACATGATGATGGTAGTAGTCAAATTCCCGGGGAATATATATATTTCATCGTCACTGATTAAGGTATTCATGAAAACACTTTCCAGAAAGTCCGACGAATAAATAATGTCATGGATACTAGAGCAGATGCTACTACTAGTCGTGGTCACCCATAGGAGGTTGCAAATAAGCAGAAACACCACAATGCTTACAAGGGGTATTGAATATTGATGTCTGACATAGATTTGTGACACTGCATCTGGGAGATACCGAAAACCACATGGCAAGCAAGTCACGTGATTCGACGGTCGCAAAATCCAGCACCAATCCCTTGAAAGATAATGTGACACCTCGCATTCATTATATGTTTACCCACATTGAGAACCTCACGACAGTTTCGCACCCAAGTTGACATGAATTGATACTGCAGTAGGCCGCCAGTCCTGCTTCCCCGAGCTTCCGCCCGATCCCACTCTGCTTGATTCCCCCGAACGGAGTGCACGAGTCACTATCATCACTGCTATTGATCCATCCCATCCCGCTTTCCATTTTCGGGCCAGTCGATGGGCTCGTTCAATGTTCTGTATGAATATCGAGCACTCAGACCATACACTGAGTTGCTGACCTTTCTAATGGCCTGCTCTGCCGTCTCGAATGTTGGAATGACAACCACAGGGCCGAAGATTTTCTCCCGGAAGATGATCATATTATCTGTCACATCGGCAAAGACTGTCGGATGTATGAAGAATCATCTCGGGGCGGCTTCATTCAATGGCGTTCCGCCCAGCACAAGACGACCCCCTTCCCGGGCGCCAGTACCGGATGTATGACATTACTCTGGCAAATTGAGTCTTCGAGATCTGTGGTCCTTGGACTATGAGAAAGCACGGACTTCCATTGTTGAGCCAGATTTCCAGCAGAGGCTGCGCTGACTTGAACCTAGTAACACGGAGCAGGGTTTTAAAGTGCTCGATATCCGATATGGGCAAGGCGAATCGAGCCTAGTTCTTGCATTGATCAACGGTTCTCATGGCCAGATTACAGCCATTGACACGGCCCCACCGGGCTACGGTGGACCATACACCATCCATCAATCGCAGAAGCACATCCAGGCTTCCACACTCGAGCAGCGTATCTGGTTGCTCCGCACCGACACGGCCAGCCTGCTTTCCCATCACGCAAGCACTGAAAAATTCAATGCAGCTGTGCTGTGCCACTCCTTATAGTATTCTCCCCATCGGGCGAGCGTTGCCCAAGTCTTCCAGCTTCTGGCCGACACAAATATACACTATCTGTGTTTAGCGGAGTACGGATTCCGCGCCTCGCGACCCGCACAGGTCCCGCATATGCTGGCTGTGCAAACGCAAGCCTGGTACCCTTCCCTACGCAAGTCCGCTGCGACGAGGCCGAGGGAGCCCAACGTACGCCCCGCGCTCACTCCAGACGAGCTGCTAGACGTCGCGCCTCAAATGGATGGCAAGAGAAACGTTCCGGCTACATACGACCTGAATCACAGCCGAGGGACGGGTATTGGGAAGTGCAGTTCGTCACCCCACAGCCGTGTAAACAATGGAGACAGGAGGAAGGCTTATCCAATGACGCATCCATGAGTCTGCCATTCGGAAGATTGAGCAATCTATCCAGGAACTGCGGGAAAAGGGTTGCACCCACCCGGTGGGAGACCAAGGATGACTTTTGGGCGGTGTTGGAGTTGCAAGAGTCTGCGCCATGTAGTTATTTAGGCCCAGTTGCCAACAGTGGTTGATAGACACATGCATCTTTGAGTGAGCACGGATGGTATGCCTGTCATATATATATCCCTGATCTCACATATCCATCCCTGAAAGCTTCCCCCTGTGAACTTAATGCTTCTCTACACCCGCACCAAAATAATATGATCGAAGAGGCCCTGTTCGATCGGTCAGAGCGCGACTTGGGGAAGTTGAAGTCGTTATACTGAGCGTACACATATTACTTTCACAAGCTGAATACCCACTCGTTATCCACGTAACTGGTAACTATCAGTAACTCATTAATTGCTAGTCAACATACTAACATATAGCACAGTTTCGTAATCGTAATCGTTATTGATCTGGGCCAGGCAGTAACTCTGGTCGTCAGCAGCCCTTATCTTCCCCCCCTACCCTACCCGAAAGTTTTCAACAGATGATTAGTAGAGCCTGGCGACCCGGACGTATTGCTGGCGCGGGAGTTGCACTTTAGGGAATAATATGTAGCGATGCATCAGTGGGTATCGGTGAGTACGGGTTGTTGACATGCGAGATGTTACTTGTTTCCGATTGCTGCCACTGGCTGTTCTATATGTTTGTTACGTCCATTTTGCTACTAGAACTTCGGGGTGATATAGCATGCATAGTCTGCGTCCTTTATTCAGCGCCCATTCATACCAATAGGGAATTTAAACAACAACAGCGGATTTGCGGCCAAAAGTATGGGTCTTGTACAATAATCGTGCTCTGGTTCAGCATTCAAACAGGAGTCAGGAGGGCGAGATGATCGTTATTCCATATCCACTGATATCCGATGTTGGACGCCATCTGTGTAGGCGTAGGACGACCGGGGTCGCTTAATATGTATATTATTGCGTAAGCGCTGGCTTCCTTGTTATTTCTCAATAGTCAATGATATTTGACTGCCCAGATTTGCAGGCCCTATCCGGTATCTATGCGGGTATGCCCTAGTCCATGAACCGAAGGTGAACTTCTTCCTGGACTCCAATGTCCGCACCGTCTTCCCCTGTTCGGATCCCGGGCAGTGATTAATAATCGGTATTTATGGCAAAATGTGGCCAGATCAATTGACTTCCCACTAACGCGTCCCTAGCTTCGAAATCCAGCTCTCCGCCTGGCAGACTCTTCCATAGTTTTCTGACTACAAACGGTTGTTGCAGCCTATCTGATGGCATTCGAACGGTTTCATAGGAGACGCACAGCAATTAGCTGGCGGATTTCACGTGGGCCATGGACAGAGCCAATCTTTTCAAGAATTTATGTCTGTGGATGACCGTGCAGCGCCATTACCAATCCACCTTGATGGATATGTTTTCGATAGACCGACTCACATGCGGTAGGAACGATCCTACCAATAAGCCGCACCTTGACGTGGACCCGGATGGTGGGCATAAACAGGCACCCCCTATCACCGGCAGCAGGTCACCGATGCGTTACCCTTCTCTGTACATGGGTTCCCAGCTAGACGCTTGGCAGCGCATTATCCTGGTAATTCTCCTGGAGGTCCCTGCGCACGTCATTCCCCCCTCTGCATGGACTCGATGTTCCCTGACTTTTGGGCCGCGCAGCCAGTCCAGGCCGCGAGGTTCTATCACATGTGGAATATGTCTCACGGCTGCCCGAAAGAGTAATGTGTACTTAAGTCGCAGCCTCAGGGAGGTTATAGCGCCCGAGGGATTGTCAAGCTTAATGATCGACAAGATGATTTCCCCTGAAATGGGCAAACCCACGATGGTGTGCTTGGCAGTTATGGAGCGAACCAGAATCAAGTGGAACAAACTCCTTCGGGCCGCAGGGCTGCCCTTGATCGAGCCGTTTACCTATGCGATCGACCTATGCCAGGGTGATAGGGTGGTCGAGCGGTTAAATGCTGACGGATAATAGGAAGCCGGCGGAGATAATAAACAGTCAGATAAGGGGAGAGTAGTCGGCTGGATCAACAAATTTGTTTGATTGATGCATACATTCCATTGATGGGACAGACGGCATCAGTTTTTTCTTTGTTACAATGGCTCATAACCCAGTCGCGCTAAAATGTCTCAGACTACTATCCACTATTAGTGTTCTTTCCCCAACCCCTCCTCATCTGTTGGCGGACTTCATTGCATTAGTGCTGACGGGATAGACTCGGATACCCCCGCGAATGACACAGCCCATGCCTATTGACGTACAGAACGATCAAAATCCAAGAAGCACAAAGGAATGAATCACAATAATATATAAGACTGTTGTCTTTCCTACATTTACGGCCACCCAATGCTAAAAAGAAATTGTTATCCCAGACTTTATACCATACTCCACAATGGCTGATAACGTAGCCACGTTGACCTCTGCCATCAACACCGCTGTGGCCGATCTAGCTGGAAAGGATGAAATCCCGGAGGCAGCTCGGTACCAGCTTCTCGAGGCAATTGACAAGCTTCGCGTTGCTGTCGAACCGCCCCTTCTCACCATTCGGAATTTCTGCTTCGGTGTCAGTAACTCTCCAGGTTCTTATCACCCATTCAATCTCTTCGTTGCGATACTGATGTAGGTGATGAATCCGTAGCATCATAGCCTAGTTGCCATTCGTGTCGCCATGGGCATGGGTATATTTGATGCCTTCGCCTCAACGAAGAATGGTGAAATGACCGCTGATGCGCTGAACGAGAAGACGAAGGGGGACAAAGGCCTCTTGGGTAAGTGTTTTCCTTCGCTGTTCTCACTGAGTATCTTCTTTGTCTATCTGCGGGAACTTTTCAAAACTCCTTCTCTTCTTTTCCTCCTTTTCTCTCTTCCCTGCCTTTTCCTTGATCCCTTCTTTTCCCCTAGTCTCTTTGTCTATTCCAACACCCATACAATTCGAAGGGTCCGTTCAGTTTTGCTTGGATATATTGATTTTTGTTTCATTGTTACATTGAATCACGGGTACTATCGTTCAATATACATCACTCAAAATTACGTGGTGGGGATTAATGATAATCTCATTCTGCAGTGCGTATCATGCGGGTGCTGTGTGCGAACCACATCTTCGAAGAGACGGGGGTGGAGAAATACCACCAACTGCCGCTAGCCATCATGTTTGCTACTGATAGTCCACCCAGCGAGGTCATCAAACATTTGTGAGTTCTTGTTGACTGATAATTTTGTTGAACTCAAATCGTGGCTGATATCGGGAATGAATTCAGCCATTCGGACATGAAGGCCTCGGTCCACTCCTATGACTATTTCGAGGCAAGAGGATACCAGAATCCTGAAGACGCCTACGACACGACCTTCCAGCTCGCTTTTGGGACCAAGGAACATTACTTTGAGTGGCTACAGCACAATCCGGAGGAGCTACATGCCTTCAATACAGTGATGGAGATCGGCAATCGCTCCTTGGAAGGTGTGCAATGGTATGATTAATATCCATGGCAGGAGAAGCTGGCTACTACCAGTGGTACAGATCGTGTCCTCCTGGTGGACATCGGCGGTGGCAAGGGCCATGACATTTCTGGCTTCAAGCGCAAGTACACTGAGATAAAACACCAGCTGATAGTGCAGGATCTCCCCAAGGTCATCGAGGACATCCAAGAGCCGCTCATTGAAGGTATAAAAGTCGTCGGATATAATATGTTTGATCCACAACCCATTAAAGGTGCTAAGGCATATTATATGCGAACTGTTTTACACGATTGGCCTGATAAACAAGCCCTACAGGCTCTTAGCCGTGTTCATGATGCTATGGCCACCGACTCTCTGCTACTGATCAATGAAAACGTCTTGCCCGAGATCAATGCGCCCGGATTTTCATCCTCGATGGATATTATAATGATGGAGCTCTATGGATCTCTGGAACGGACGGAAAGGCAGTGGCTTGCACTATTGGAGAAGGCGCAGTTTAGGGTTGTCAAAATATGGCGGTCGGGTTTTCAGGGAACTGGTTCCAATGCGTTATTCGAGGCGGTGCCTGTTTGAGTGTTGGGGAATCTTCATGCTAAGATAATGCAGCCCAGCGGTTCGACATTTGATCTTGTGGGCTTCTAGATATGCCTGAAGCTTCGGAGCTACCTGGGCGTCTTGTTTAGGGGGTTCTACGCACTGCTTGGAAGTTCCATGTAAACCGAATTTACTAATGTCAGTTCTTGGTCCAGAACACAGGGGACTGCCCTGTTTTATCTAGTCTCTCACGAGGAACAGATGGCAATCTTTTGGATAAAGATAAAGCTGAATTAAAAACGGAATATTGCAATACTGTTCGCCTTAGATACAATCACCACATGGACATCATAATGGCCTGGAGAAATGTTTGATGGACAAACGTATGGGTAGAGGTGACTCCTTAGTCAGGAAGTAAATAATAGACCGCAGCCATGGAGCCGCCACAAGTAATGAAATAATCGAATCTAGACCAAAGGAAAGACTGTCATGCGACAAGACAATCACCCGGTTGCACTTCCCAGTGAGTATCACGGAGTGATCCCTCTGTCAACAGCCCGACTTGTCTTCCCCAAATGACCATCTGCAGGTATCACGTGAGTAGTTTGCATAATCTGAACTGTTCGCCGAACTTAGCCTGGGCATACAACTATAGGAAATGGATCCTCTCCATCATAGGCGATATACTTAGAGCATTTGTTTGGCATCTTGAACCCCCGTAGGTTGATATCTTGTCTGGAACTAGCCTGTATGATGATTTGGACCACGGATCATAATTAGAGTTGCTGTTTGAAATGCCGATTGACTTTCGTTTGACGTGGAAATCCCACACTGGCTTTGACCGTGGAATGCACGCGGCAATTATCACAAACAATAACTCATTCTTGGCCATTATACTGTCGCCCGGATGTGGAATGCGGGGTCGCGATAATACTCTTCTGCCTAGCATGTGCTAGCAGCAAACAGTATGACACTAAAGCTATATCTGTTAATTGACTGACTTATGTCCCCTTTCGTTCTCCACGTTGGCGCCTGCATCCGGCATGCGCATCAAAATCGTCGTTACCCGACCTGGAAAAATGACGAAATCACATTTCATTAGATACTTATGTAATGTTCAAGTTTCGATTACGTTGAGCAAGGAGAGTCAAAATTTGCACCGGGGCAGCTCCAGAGAGTGAAGCTTCTCTACAGATAATGACCTCACATTTTCTCATCTCGAGTCACCTGGTCCAATCGTTGCACCAAGCCATCAATCTTCCCCATAAGCCCAGTCTTTCTTCGGGATACCTTCTAGCGTTGAATTCTGTACACGCCCAGAGTCGCATCACATGCGGTCCGCAACTTTCATCATTCCACCTCTCCTCTGGCGGAAACGGCGAGGGATCGAAGACTATGCGCAGGGCATATAGTGAGCCATCCAAAATCTTATGATTGACGTCGAATTGGTTCCTGAAGCGGCCGTGCTCAAGTGTTATATGATACATTCTTGAGCAAAATGCCTCTTCATCTAGCCAAGTCTCATTGACTCTGCCTTTATACCAGATATCGGGTGGTCGTCGCTTTGTGAGGGTCATTTCAATGGTAAAGTCACTGATTACCTTAGACCGCTGTCTATTGTTACCTAGGTCGATGACCCGATCGAGATACGCGGAATCGTGCGGCTTCCATTCAATTTCGGCGAAAATCCAACAAGTGTACTCGGTTGAGCAAAATAGCTATATGTTAAACGTCAATCAACGAGAAAAGAAGGCTACTCAGTTGTCGAACTCACCTTGCCTGTTCCATCCTCGTGAAAGGTAATTTGACTTGATCCGTCATTCCAACTCCATGCCTCTTCACAGAGGATGGAACGGACTGTTTCGGGCCAGGTCATTGGCCCCGCTTGGGAAGCTCCCCAGCTTTTGGCTGTTACAACAATAACGCTCTGCTAAGGAACTTTGACCGATATGGTTTTTGTTGAGTTGATTGCGTCTGGATAGTGGTAGACTCGTGTAATGCGTCGATAGGGAGGCGAAAAATGATGAGAGTAACAGTCCTCTCATGCCCACGAGACCGAAGGTTGCGGGCGGAAGTTCAGGGTCCCACTAGTCTGCGTTGGGGAAGAGGCTGGAAGGCATAACCATGCTTGGTGCAGGCAGCTGGCTAAGACTTTCACTTTTCTAGTTTGGGTTCCATTTAATTTTCAATTCGATGATTACATTAAGATCCCAGATCCGATGAGCCAGAACCTTGCATGAATGATCTCATTATCGTTTTCTTCAGAACACAAGATCGATTATGTACTTCTGGAAGATGAAACTTGTACTTCTCATTAATAATGTTGGTAAGGAAGGGTACATTTCTATTGGGACTTAAAAGCTTATCAGGCGTCAAATGTTCATCGCTCACTCCCACGGCGCCCCACCTCCCCTTTCTCGTTAAAATGGTGCACCTGCTGCCCACCTTTCTTCCTCTAGCGTCTCCGTCGCTTCACACACAGAATGCCACCTATCACCAGAGCGCAAGCCAAACACAAATTCCCCGGTTTTTTTTCAGAGACTTTCCGCGACGCGTCCCCTTTCGCGCTGAGGCAGTCGCATAGAACTGGACAACACACCAAGTTGGTCGATTGGATCGTATTGAACCCAGGAACAGGCGCGACGCATCAAGATCCATCGGATCCCATAACCAAATTCTTCCAACCTCTTTTCGAGCAACCAGAATACCTGTGCCATCTGAAACTTCGACGGTCGTGCCCCGTGGAAGCACCACACACTGAATGGCTCATGCTATGTTAGTTTCCCAATGTCACCTCTCATGGATAGGATAATCAGATGCCCAAGAGAGGCAATCTCTGACATCGTTCTTAGCTTGGAACTCTGCCGATGTGCGCACTAAATTCATCAACTCTGCCGAGTTCCAGTCTCTTACCGAGATCCTCGCCGCCTGGAGTTCCGAGCGATCGGTCCAAGTATCTATGATCGATCTCTCTCAGACAGTTGGGGACGCGTTCGGTGGCGGTGCGTTCCAGACCCAGTACGTTGGTCCAATCGAGTACTACGAGCTCATGGCCGTGTACTTCCCTGAGGATCTGGCGGGTTCGCACATCAAGGAGCTGAACCGCACCAATCCATACAACCTAGGGATTCTGATTGGCTCCGATATGTACCCCCTGGCAGGGTTGACGGATTGGCAGCATGGATGGCTCGATCGACCCGTGCTCTTCCAAGGTCGACGTGCCCGATGCCTCATCTACTTGTTGCGATGGGAGAATCCCGACCGCGAGCACGAGTATAAGAATTTCCGCGTTACGATGAAAGGGAAATTTTTAGATTACTGGGAACAGTTTCTGACCCCGTTGAAGCAAAATAGGATGCTCGGCTACGAATCGCAACATGCATCATTTATCAGACAGCCGGTCACTTCGGTGCTGGGTGACTAGAGAACGTCCAAGGGTTGGGAACCGATGGAGCTGTAGTTGGAAATGTTTAGGCAACCGCTATTCGGTCCGGACTGCAGAACCTCATCTATCCTGAAGTACTGCTCTTATCCCCACTAGTTTGTACAATTAAGTTGCATTTAGTAATCAGGTTATCCATTTACACGCAAATGTATATATGAGCTGTTTTATATCTTAATCAGCTTGAGGGCAGTCTCTTCAAGACCTTCCTCAGATTCCTCTAAGACCTCTCTGAGACTCCCGTCATAGGCCACTACCGGAGCTATTACTAGCGTTATTGTGTATGGATCACTGTAGGATGTAGTGTGAAATATCGGTCTGTCCGCTAGCGAAATAGCCAAGATATACTAGTTTCACTTTGACAATCAGGGGGTCGATAGATTGTAAGAGAGAAGCATATATAGCTTTCCTCACCTAGTCTAGCTCCGCTAAAACAATCGGTTAGTAGTAGTACAGGTACACGATGTAGGATATACAGTCCGCACGGTGTTGAATGCCGTTCAAACACCATCCGCCATTCCTGAGATTAGGTCTATTTACAAGATGACCTAGGTTTGTAGTAGAAGTACGATACATACGTGAAGAAAGAGGGAATCTTAATTGGGGCGCACTAGATCCTGCCAATCTGCAAGATGTTGTCAAGAAGGATTTTCACAGTGCATTGTCTGTCGTTGTTTCCTCTTCATCTTCAAGGTCCAGGAGATTTGGATTCGTAAAGTGGCTTCCGTGCTTCAGACCGTAGCCTTCAGCTATAGAGGAGCTGATATTACCCCTCGTGCTAGCGAAGATCGTTCTGGCCCTCACAGAGCCAGCGACGTCCCGAGACCAATCACATGCAGGCAGATACATGGCTGTAGCAGATCATGCGTAACTGTCTGCGTTTAGGATGGCATCGTCAACGCTCGACTTTCCCAGTTCAGCCACATGAAATTGGAGATATGCTCTTCTCTGTTCACCACCTACAATCAAGTTGTTTTCCGTAATCACGAAATGTCCATCGTCAGTGATAAGCTCTATTTATTAAGGAATCCCACGTGCTTTCCTACTCGATCCCCAGTTGACTGGTATTACATAATTACATGTTCATCCAGTTTACGCACTGTCGTAGCGGGTAGGTACAGGTCAAAATATAAGCCCAACAATATATTTGTTTTGCCCAGATAACCATCTTTTTCATTGAAGCTTCAGGCAACCCCCAGACAATGTCTCCACATTACACAGGAAAGACAGAAGTATACAGTCATATAAGAAAATAAGCGCAAAGTATACCCGTATGTAGGACTGGTCTCAAGTATACATGAGCCATCTATAGAGATTAGATGGCTTTCTAAATAAGGAGAAAATGACAGGGCTGCTCGCAACGTTATTAGGGTGGAGTATTGGAGCACATGACCATTTTCTCTACACGTCAGGCCTCCTCGATCTTGTGTCGCTGTCTCAGTATTTTGACTAAGTAGGCACAATTAACCAACCATTTACCACTCACCGACTCCACTTCTTCTCCATCTCACTCCTCCAAAGACCACCATACCTCCACTGTATCCACAAGCCAGTATTCGCAAATATCTGTGCTGCAACACATACGGTGAAAGCCACTCCGCATCCAACACGATTCACCATGGGCATCACAAATCCCGAGCCCGCAGCCGCAAGACAGCAACGGGCCATATTCAGACTTGCGCTCGCAGCTGCACTACTATCATGGAATACATCAACTAAATAAGTCGTCACTATCGATTGATTGGACACAGCTGTCCACCCGGTAATAAACGTTGAGATAATGGGAACGGCGATGTGGACGTGGGACGAATATTGAACAGTCCAGCCAAATATCATGACTGATAAACATTGTAGGCCAGCGAAGATGGGAACCAGACGAAGACGGGCTCGTTCAAGTGGAAATAATTTCTCCTGTCTTGAGGGTGATGTTTCTGCAAGTTCTTGTTCTCTGAACCGGCGATAATCCTTGTCGAGGATCCTACCTGTGATGAGGGTCCCGAACATAGAGCCCGCACCATTAGCGATGAAGGTTAATCCGGACTGAATTTCTGTCAATCCATAGTGTTCTTTGAAGAGAGTTGCCATAGCCGTAATCGTCATTTGCCACATAGCGAAGTAAATGGCAAAGAAAAGTACCAGCGGGGCGGCCTGTTTGCTGATCAAGATGCGGAGGGGTCCTAAAAGTTCGGTTCGTTTCTTGGGGGCCAGCCGGTTATATTCCACAGTCTCACGCCAATTCGTTTTACTGAAGCGCTGATAGAGAGCAAGGGGATAACGCCCGATCCTTGGGGAAGGAAGTTGACCACCATTTCCCACGATTGACCTCAACGTCTCAGGAAGCAACAAACCTATCATGGTAAGCAGTACCCCGCTGTAAACAGTGAGAAACCAAAAGATAGTTCTCCATCCAATCGACCCTGCAAGCGCTCCCCCGATAACAGGCCCAATAGCAATGGAAACCAACATCATTCCTTGAAAAAAACCCATGAATCCCCCACGATCTTCACGGGTCGTAATATCGCCAATCACACCTGATCCGATAGCAACAGTACTAGCAGACCCAGTACTTTGCAAGCACCGAAAAATGATAAGCATAGTATAATTCCTGGTCTCTGCGAGACCAATGCAGGCACAGACTGCTACAAATAGGGTACCGATGTATGCTATTCGGCGACCTTTGACGTCTGAGATTGGACCCCAGAGGCTAGGCGCTAGGCCCTGGAAGATAAGGTAGGAGGTAATGGAAAGGTTGACGAGCTCAGTAGAGACATTGAGACTGCGGGATATGGATGGAATAGCAGGGAAATAAATGTTTGACGCCAGTGTCGAGACTGAATTATTAGAGGTGTCTGCAGTATTATAATGTGGATAGACAGTGACTTACATGTAGCAGCAGCGGAAACAAGCACCGCCAACAGACGCTTCTGAGATCTATCAAAGATCGTATACGGTGGCGCAGGCCTCTCAGTGACTGCATCAACAGTTGATGACTCGTTCTGATCTGCTGCCATGTTGTGTGGATAATGTTAGTCCCCATCACAGTGGAAAGAGACCCTTTACTTCGAACACACGAGAGGGTAATATACTCCGTTCGAGCGTATCCTCGGAGTTGCCGACTCAGCTGAGATAGCTGATAGACATGGTACTTCCTAAATAAGTTAGCCATGTGTGCGTATGGTGATACAAGAGATATTATTCAAGCTCGAGAGATTTCCAATTGCCTGAAAGGTCACGATTTCCCACGAATAGGAAGCCTGGCCACCGGCATGCACGGGAGTTCTCATCACAATTCGGGATTTGAACCTGACTCAACTTACCATGCTAGCGCATATTTGCTTTTGATATCAGATCTGGGGCAAGATAAGCGGCACGGTTCCGAGTGTGATAATGCACGAGATCGTGACTAGCGACGACAATACGTAACACAGCATTAAGGATCTATCTGATCCACCATCTGTGCTCTGGTAGAGCCTTGATAGTGCAGATTATTGGAAGGTCATGGTAGGAATGGTCTGATTGATCGTGTTGCGGTAGTACGGAACTGTGGCGTTCCCGGGTTGTACCTCGTGATATGTTCGCAGATCTAAGCCAGTGCGATCCGCATCCGATCTTCCTAGTTCCTTGTGGACCGACTGGAGCATCATCATCATACTGAGCATTATCTTGGCGTTGCTCCATATATAAGTAGCTTGAGTCGTGCCATTATTACCCTTCCACTCTCATACAGTCAAACATCCTAGTTTCTTCATTCAAAGGCGACCCGCAATTCATCTTACCACTTTCTTTGGCACACAATTAGTGCCATTTGCCTTACACAATTATATCCCACTCCACCTCCCACTCCCCCAAAGAGAAACACCATGTATATTCAGCTTGACCTCTCTTCATACTACGGAGCCTACTAGCTAATACGGATTTTGATGCTCAGGCTATGCACACCGTCAGAAAAATACGATGCTTCCCCCCGGCCGTACGTCAACAGCAGGAAATGGCCTACTCAAACTTTGACTCAAGCTCCCCGATGGCTTTCAACCGACCTGAGGGATGGCAATCAGGCATTAGTCCAGGTACCTCTGACTCCGCATGTACAGCTATCTCAACCTGCTAATCAAACCAGCCCATGAATGGTGATCTCAAGCTACGCTATTTCCAAACCCTCATTAAGCTGGGATACAAGGAGATTGAAGTCTCTTATCCCTCTGCCTCACAGACCGAGTTCGATTTCACGCGATACCTCATAAGTACCCCTGGTATTGTGCCCGATGACACGTGGATCCAAGTCATGGCGCCTTGTCGCGACGAACTCATTCAAAGAACGATTGAGGCCGTCCGGGGTGCGAGGAAAGTCGTTCTGCACATACATCTCTCTACATCCGATCTTTTCCGCGAAATCGTCTATCTAATGACAAAGAAAGAGATGATAGACCTTGCTGTTCGGTGCATGAGGATGATTCGCGAACTCACGAAAGACTCCCTAGATGCCGAGATGCGGAAAACTGAATGGACGATGGAATTTACCTTGGAAAACTTTCAAGATACATCCGTTGAATTTGCACTTGAAATCTGCGAAGCTGTGAAAGCAGCCTGGGAGCCGACCACTGAGAATAAAATCATTTTCAATCTTCCTTCAACTGTCGAGATATCTATGCCGAACGTCTTCGCAGACCAGATCGAGCTCTTCTGTAGGGGTATCTCCGAGCGAGAAAAGGTTTGTGTATCAGTTCATCCTCACAATGACCGGGGATGTGGCGTGGCGGCAGCCGAGATGGCTCAGCTGGCTGGTGCAGATCGAGTTGAAGGATGTCTATTCGGGAATGGCGAACGCACTGGAAACGTTGATCTCGTCACGCTGGCTCTGAATTTATATACTCAGGGCATATCACCCAGAGTTAACCTGGGCAATTTGAATGAGGTTGTCGCGATGGTAGAGGACTGCACTAAGATCCCCATCCATCCTAGAGCTCCCTATGCAGGAAAGTATGTGTTTTGCACATTTACCGGTACGCACCAGGACGCTATTCGAAAGGGATATAACCAGCTCCAAGAGAGTGAGAAACATGATGCTACACAGACCCCCAAGTGGAGAATGCCATATTTACCAATGGATCCAGCTGATCTGGGAAGGCAACACGAAGCTATTGTGAGGGTGAACTCGCAAAGTGGGAAAAGTGGCGTTGCCTGGCTTCTCGAGGAGAGTTTCCACATTCATATGCCCCGAGAGTTAGAAATTGAGTTCACAAAGATCGTCAAAACATATGCGAATATGAGTGGTTTTGAGATTACTCAGGAGACTATCCGTCGCTTGTTCCGGGAACACTACATGCATGCTGATTCTGAAAAAGCCAGGCTGTTGGATTGCAGAGCCGATGAGACCAAAGGAGATCGGGTTGTTACACAAGTGCAACTTAAAGTTGCAGTCGAGGGGTCCGAACACGACCTTGAAGCAACTGGAAGTGAACTATTACCGACCATACTCGATGCCCTGAAGCCATTGGGCTATGGCTTCGAGGCATTGGACAGCCAAATGCAATACACAACCAACCGGGATACAATCACGAGTTTCGTTAGGCTAGGCACATCCGAGAACTTCGCTGCATGGGGTGTCGGCATGCATAAAGACACGGCGTGGGCCGTGTCACTTGCCGTAAGTAAAAAGGGCATGAACAATTGAGCACGGCATTAACGGAATTTTAGGTTTTAGCGGCAGGCCAAAAGATGATGGCAGAGAAGGTCAACAGCTTCTTCTCCAACTAAAAACTGGGTATTAACCGTGTGATGGCAAGTAACCGATGTTGCCAGTGTGTGTTTGAGTAACCAAATTATTGGTGATGGGCTTAATCGTATTGACTGTTTATCCTCCCGCCCACCTGAAAAATAGGTACAGCGTCGGATAGTACCGTGTCAGCCAACAGTGGCATAAATGAGAATAAATTACAGCAATGCAATTGACTCTAAGAAGGAAATACAAAATAATCATAATATCACGATATTAGTATTGTCTGTAGTAATAGGAGTAAGGAAATGAAAATATAATTTTATTGTTATACGGAAATCTGTGCTATTCAACCACGTCACATATCATAAGAAAGATAGTAGCAGTACCAAATCTCTTATTATCTTATTAAACTTGAAATTGCGACCGATAGCATTCTTGATCTCCATTTTGTTAGTACCGTCATTCGACTGTCGTCGGGAGTCCTCGTTTACTTCCAAGCGAGGATCTCACACTGTAGCGCCGCGTACCACGCATCCTCGGTCTCTGCCCATTTCCGCACAGCAAGGAGTGTATGCTGAATTTCCTCCTCTGTGATGCCTGCACGCAACCAATTCTGTCGTAGGGGATCTTCCTGCTGCAACTGACCCTCAGCACGCTTTGCTAGCCACTCTCTAGTCTCTCGGCCTGAGTATAAGGTAGTCCCGGCGCCGATGCGAACGCGACCAGCATCAGCATTGAACCCTGCTCTGCGGAACAGGGCTGGCATGATGGCCGCTGTGGAATCAGCGTCGGGACTCCAGCACCCGTCAGACCAATGCACAGCGCGATTGAAATTTTGTACCCATAGGCGATCTAAATTAAGGCTCCGCGGGTAGAAATGCTGATCTACTCCATCACGCGTGGCGATGATACCACCGGGCTTTAGGACTCGTCGCATTTCGGACAGCGCCCTGAAAGGCAGGTCTGGCGGCGGCAAATATCCGAAAACTTGAGCACAGTAGACGACATCAAATGTCTCATCCGGGTACGGCAGCCCCTTCAGAATGTCGCCTTCCTCGAAGATAACGGAGCCTGGCTGTTCCCACTTCATAGAACAACCGGCCTCAGCTGCCATACTCTTCGCTTTCCGCAGAACATCTGGTGATATGTCGATGCCAGTTGTCCTGCCTTTGGTAGCATACCTGGTAAATCCTATTGTTATGGTGCCAGGCCCACAGCCAACGTCGAGGATGTAATCCGTGGTTCTAAGGTGTGGTAGAAGAAAGGCAGCTTCTGACTCCGCTGTGCGTGCCTGTTGGGTTGCGACCGTATTGCTAGAGTAGCCTTGCGTGTAATGTCTCGCTCCAGTCTGTAGTGCCATTATCTTCTACTTCAATATTAGGCTTTTGGTTAGAAATCTCATCATCCCAGAAGTTGGTTCAGCGAACCTGTCTGACATATGCCGTTATATCTGGACCATGCATGGAGGGGTCATCCGGAGATAAGCGCTTAAAACCGGGCTGAAAGCCGAGTGAGGCTTGCACTTCGGGGTGATTAAAAATAACTCCGCGTGGTTTACTGCTATATATGGAATAGTACTTATCCAGGTTGCGCCTTGACATGGCCTGACTAAATAACAAATCTACAATATAATATTCTGCCAGTTCCCCTACCACCCACTTCGTATTATGCTGAACTGGTCTTGGCATATACCTACTATAACCTAGACCTATCCGAAATACAAGAGTTAGATCTGTATATGTTTGGCATACTAGAGTGGAGTGGCTCTATCTAACTGTTAAATGGTGGGAGGCGCTACCCCAGCCAGGCTTCCTCCACACCGGCCTCCGCTCATGCCACACCCTCTGCCTACCTTCCGCCTATCTTAGTAGATAAGACTCACTCCCTATAATATACGGCTTGCTTTTCAAAGCAGGCAGACTCTCGCCTACTATTTTAGGGTTAATATTACCTGAGGCAGAAAATTCAGATCTCAGGCAGTAAACTAATACTTAAGGCAACCATCTTTCTTGGATAGGAAGGCGGTAGTATTCTGATAAATTAAAAAAGGCAAGTCCGTCTTAATAGAGAACGGACCTGAACTAGTTAGGCAGAGGGTGTGGCATGAGCGGAGGCTGGTGTGGCGGTAGCGTCCTCCTAAATGGTGGCCAGATTTATTTTTCTACAAGCTGGCAATAACTTCTCGATTGTTCCATTAGCATTCTGCCTCGACTCCATTCAACTAGATTTCACGTGAGTTGCGAAATCTTCAAAAGACCCAATACAGTCTTGGCCCCGATTTTCGTAAGAAGCGACATGTTCCAGCTCAATGAACTCTCTAATGTCAATATTTATTTCAAACTTGGTCTCTCGATTTCATAGTAATTCTATTCAACATCTATCAGATGCGTTTATTCTGAAAACAATGGAGAAGAAATTGGATTTGCGGATAAATTGGGTTATTCTATATACTACTCGAAATTCTTCCCGTCATCTAAGAAGAAATGGGATATGCTGATCTCTTCTACGGTACCCAAGGGCTGTTATTCATAGCGATACTCTCTAAATGACAAACCCTTCTATGAGACAAATCACGTTGCCGCTGAAACTGGGTTTATATATTCGAGGACTTTTGTACGTATTAGTATAGGATTTATCTGTCATGTAGTAATTCCTGTTCAGATGAATATATAATATATCACTACTACAGCCATAATGAACTAAGCCTATTTTTAAACCGCCATAAAAAACTACCAGGTAGTGTCAGGTTCCGATGAGCTTTCCACTCATGACAGTAAAGCATCCTGACCGCCATCATATGCAAAAAACTGAACTATCTCAATGCAGATATTGAAGTGCTATTAAATCCACACGCTGCTCCCAACTCGAGGCTTATTGATGCTTGCTGGCTACAATCTATTCATCTTATCAGTCTATTCACCAGCTCTACCTTCCCTTTAGTGGAAGAAATAGGATGATTGTCTTCTGTATATTGCCCCCTTAGTCCACCATTGTAGATACTCGGCGTTGAATTTCGTAGCTCGCGAGTACAGAAGATAGTAGTTCAATCTACCACCTACAAAAAGGTCCCGTTGCGAAACAAGGGCTGTGGTCTATATTGATCCTATTTCACCTTGATTTCATCCTTATTTCACAATAGCACAAATGACTGACGTCATATGTGTTGGTCCAGTTAGTGTTCAGGCTATTGGGAACTATGAGATTTAGGCCCCCTGCGCCTGTGTTTCGAGCCATAATTCTTCTGGTATATAGAACATCTTTCATATTACCACCGAGCCTGTAGAGTTTGACAGTAAGGTGGAATAGTCCTTTCGACTTATAGCCGTCAGCAAGATTAAGCGGGGGGTACTCGCGGAATTTATCTGCCAGATACCATTGGCCCGAGTAAAAGTTTTACCAATGACCGAAGTGAGGGCACTGAGGGCCATAATACAAAGGAAAAGAATCAGACCATTATCACTAATCGGAATGCTTGTCAGTACACAAGGCTTTGTGAACCTGGGAAGCAATAGAGAGTTCGACAGCTGGAGTAGAAGCTCAGAAGTAATTTATCACCCATATATGTTCTAAATCGCAGGGATCTTTCGCATTTAGGAATGGCGGCGCTCTGGATAATTCACCACTGCAAATCAAGTCTTATCTCCTCGCCTGCCCGCTGCAAACCCTTAGATTTCCTGGGCAAGAAGAACCCTGTTAAAACGATAACCTATTCATTGCATTCGTCCGGTGAGCATGTGTAGGAAACGGGTTGATGTTTAGACCTGTTACAGGATCACATTAATTTTCGGGATTAGGTCGTAGTATGACGGAGACATAGCCCTATGCGATTACATAGAAAGCCTATCATCGAGATTTGCTCCTGTTATTACGGATGTTACCCCTACGTATGGACGATAAATGGATGAAGGACCTTGAAATCAGGCTAAATTGTTGGCCCCGTTGCTTTACTCCGGGTAATTTCCGTAACAGGATGCTTGGCAAATCAATCAAATCCTTTCAATCTGTATGGACGAGTAAATGGCATCCATCAAAATAAGCTAGATCGACATGCCAAAATCCCTCGGCAATAGAGCATTTTTTCACTGCCGGACGCAGAGTTTTATCCCATATGAAAGCCGCTAGCAGCAAGTCTCTACAGTAAAACGTGGCTGTCATTCAGTTTGGTTAGTTAGATGAAAACCGGCCTATGCGTTGCAGACTATGTCAGGATTAAAGTAACCGGACTACACCTGGCTGCCTATTCAAACATCCTATAACCTAGATATGAAGGAGGTTAAAGAGATACTCCCAGAATCTCTACTTATTTATGTCCCGGGCACTCTCTCAGATAGTAACCTTATTTCTCACTTAATTCAACGTTCCTCATTGATTCTCCATCGTAGGGTATGGGGTTTATGTCCTCTTTTTCAAGAGTATCGAAGATGGCAAGGGCAAGCTACAGTTTGCATACACGACTAGAGAACAAGTAGGGAGGCTGCCTTAAAAGGATACGGTTACTGTTGGGCTCACAGCACCGCCTAAATAAGCCCCAGGGTAGATGCCTGATGCCACTTCGTTGACCTTAGTTTATACAAGTGTGAACTTCTGCGATAACTTTTCGCCCTGGACCCTGAGCTAACGGTGCTGGCACCTTCCCATATCCACCAAGACGAGGTTTCATTTGACGGTCTATTTTTGGGGGCATAACCCCTAGCGTCCTAAAGCGAGCGCCACCTGTACTTCGCGACCAATGACCCTCTGAAGGCTGTTCCCGGTTCCGAAATTAGTGTAAATATCCTCCTCGAATAACATGTGACAGGGACATCTGACCATAAGGCTTGCACTTGAATCCGTCAGTTACATAATGCCAAGAATACTAATTTAGACTGGTTTCAGACACACTAGCTCTAATCCTGCTACTTGCCGTGTCTTCAAGAAGGTAAATTCGCGGTATACCCATCCTTGCGGGGCCAATAAAAATAGCAAAATCACTGTATCATGTATTATATAGAGCCGATAATGGCAGCATAATGTAGACCATCTGATAGTGGCAATTGGATTTTCATGACTTAGAGGTTGCAGCCTTGCCGACGAGAGGCATAGAGAGGAACGCAAAGGTTGGCCTACAGGCCTTAGTGAACTTGGCAGGTTTCGGATATACATATGATCATCATTATCCCAGACAAGATGTAGATCATGTCCAGTAGTGGGACTGATCTCTTGCATCTGGTACTGCCCGGTTCATACTTGTGTCTGCTAAGATCACTGGGTCCAACTAGAGCACGGTGAGTTCATAAGTGGAATACCAGGGCCGTACTATGAACGTAATTACCATTTAAATTTCATTTACCTGTACATAAAGGCATGGCTTATTGGATACAATTGTTCGCCTTGGTTCTAAAGAAATATCAAAGATTCAATCTTGTACGCTGCTGTCAATTTGCGATCAATTTACTATTGCTCTGCAAGTACTGACACAGCTCTGCGGCATCTTGCATTATTGAAATCAATGTGGCTGCAAGAACTATAATCTCCCTCGCCGGGGTTCGAGCCAGTTGTATTGTGTATGGGAATTTAGAAAACCGAGACGCAAAGGAAGCTATCTATAGAGCGTATGCTTATATTATGGTTCTACGTAGCCGGCAAGTGTCATACTCGTAAAGAATCATATGGCTCATCTCTGTATCATTCCTTCTAGTTCAACAAGGGCCGGTGTCTAAGCCCATTGATCCAGGATTGAACTCATTAACCGTTACTGTCCATTAACTACCAGTA